GTCCAACCAATGAGGACAAGCAATGGAGCAGGTATTGAGGCTGGTAACAGTTCCATGCTAAGACAGTAAGAAAACCCCAGTCGTCGTGACCTACAAGGTATTTCAGACAGTTTTTACTCTATAAAACACTAGAATATAAATTCCAGGGAGGCAAGTGTTTTTGATAACTTTAAAAATTAGTTTTAAAAATCTTAAACTAATTGTCACAGACTTGGTCGACCATTGCAAGAGTTAAATCTTCCAGGAGACTGGCAGAACCTTCCATAGCCTTCTAGCACCTGCACTTTGCATTCAGAGACGGCAGCCTTCCAACCCATCTCTGGATAAAGTTACGTGGAAGGCAGCCAGCTTAACAGGAGCGAAAGAACCTCTCATCTCCAGCTTCCCAAGGGCAATTCCCCTGGAAGAACCCGGTGTAGGAGCGGGGATGGCAAGGAGCCAGGTGAGTAAGATCTGCGGGATGGAAGGAATCTGTACGTAAGGCAAATCAGACCTCCATGATGGTCTAAGGGTGATCACATTTTAAAATTTTTACCCAGAGATGTTTAGCTTAACATTTAATGTGATTTACATAAATTATTTTTACCTGCATCTGTAGGTATAATGGGAGATGCTGAAGTCACATCAGCACAGCTTGGATTAAAAAAAAAAATTCTGATCCTCTCCAGGAGTTGGAATTCCTTAAATCCTCATCAGCAAGACTGCTTTGGATGCTGGGACAATACAGTGAGTCACAGAATCAGAGCCAGAAGGGACCTTAGACGCCAGTGGGTTCCATTTCCTCCTCTCCTCTCTCTCTCTCTCTCTCTCTCTCTCTCTCTCTCTCTCACACACACACACACACACACACACATCCACTTAACACATGGCAAGGTTTATGTCTTTGCTTGATTTCCAGTAAATGATGTTCATCACACTATGAGAGTACCCCTTAAAATCCGTATGTACAGAAAACATCCATATCTTATGACCTATATCTGATAGAAAATACTGCCTTCATAAAAAAATAAATCAAAGGAAAAAAGCTAGGAGTCTGGAAAAATAATAGTTGTTTACAATCATTTGCTATTCTAGATAATGTAACATATTGGGAAAAGAACCCCAAATATCAAAGAACAAGGGAATGTTGAGATAATATTACTATGGGATGTTATATAGGTGTAAAATATCTATGAAAGCTTTTTTAGTGATCTAATAATAAAATAGCTTTTAAATATATAAATATGGTTCTATTACTCAATGCTGGTGAGGCTACAATAAGATGTATTCTCAAAATGGACATTGGGTATAAACTGGCCCAGAATTTCTGAAAAATAATTGATAAAATGGAATTACATGCTTTAAATCTACTCAGACCATTCATCTCAGTAATTTCACTTCTGGGAAGTTAGTCTAAGGAAATAATCTGAATATTAGTCAGTTTGTACATAAAGATATTTAGGACATCATTATTTATAAGAGCAAAACATCAAAAGCAACCAAATGTTTAACATTAGGGGAATGGTTAAGTTACACCAAAAAATATATACATATAGCTCCTCCCACCACATGAGGAAACAGTGAGAAGTCGACAACCCAGAAGAGGCCCCTCACCCTACCATGCCCACACCTCGTCTCCAACTTCTAACTCCTGAACTAATTACAGTGTTTGTGTTTACACAAGATTGGTCAAGGAATCAGCAATTCCTTTTCCAAAATATTCAAGGAACTGGAAGTGCCAACTACAACATTTTTATAAGAAACAAACATAATCAGGATGTTAAAGGAAGAAATGTTTTTCTTAAAGAAACAAACTCAGATGCATGGAAGCTATAAATAATAACTTACACAAGCATTTGAGAAAAAATGTCAATATAAGACATAACATGATAGGCAAAAGTGAATCCTTAATGACATGAGAAAATGTGTATGACAATGTTAAAAAAGGAAAGATAGAAAATGAGTATATAGTATGTCCCTCATCTTAACAAAATAAAATGCATAGGGCAAATCCTAGAAGGAATCTCACCAAATGTTGAGGACTGTTTAAGTTGCAGAGCAATCTTGGGTAGCACTGTGGCAGAACTATATGTCTGGGTGGCACACATTTATGTGTGTTTGTGAATTAAATGCCATGTCTTCTGGGTTTCAGACCAACATATAAAGAGCTGGAACTCTATCGCAAGGTACTTGCACCACCTGTGAGGCGGTATAGTGTTACCTGCTCATCCACGAAGTCCTCTGTCGTGGCTACAAACACTAGGAAGCCCTTGCAAAATTCCATGAAATGTGCCAGGAGGTCAGTGGGCAGTGCCGCCCCCACGGGAGTGCAGAACTGGGCCCAAAGGGGAGGGTCTCTCAAAGCCATGGTGCCCTTTCCCTCCAGCAGTTAGAAAATGGCTGATGATCCCCAGGCCTGGTTCCCCATCTTTTTTCCAGATTACATCCCAAAACTCCCATTCTTTTTCCTCCTCCTCCTAGCCCTGTCCCTGCTCTTGAATGCTTTGGAGTCCAAATCAACAGCTTATCGTAAAATCAGAAAGCAAATCTTCCTGCTCAGTCCCAATCACAAAGCAAGATGAATAAGAGCTGAGATTAAAAAAATATATATATATATTAAAACTTACTAAAGTTTTGATTGCAGTTATCGCTGATGGTGGAGTGATGGTGGTTTTTATTGCCTTCTTTTTGATGAGGAAAGGTAGAACAAAAAAAGGAGGGTTATCGGGCTACATATAGTATTAGGAAGTTCTGATTTAAATTTGGTTAATTATGTCTTTTATTTTTTAAGTTTACTCCAAATTTGTGTATAAAAGTTGTCTCACAAGAAATCCAGAAATAACAGCATCAGGGAAACATGAACCAGAAATCTAAACACATCCTGGTTCTTGGACTTGAAATCCAGGCAGTGATTACTCTGGTCTCTCACTCGCAGCTTCGGGAAGATCTAAGAGGAATCTCTACTTCTGGATTCTGCTAAAAGTGGACCATCCCCGCCGCTCTTCCAAAGCAGCCACAGTGCGAAAAAGAAAGACCAACATTCACTGGTACTGAGATGCAACAACCCTGTTTTAACTTTTAAGCCATTTAAAAAAAAACTCTACTGTTTCCTTTAGAAAAATCTCAGAAGTTTAAAGTGCTGAAAGAAACCACTCATTGGAGGTATATTATCACATCACAAAATCAAAATCTAAGTACTTACACTAATGTGGATTGTCAAGATACTGATATAATCATCCATGACCCAGCCACTCTAGAACTTTACACGTTTTCCACCTATGTTGTTTTACGTTTCTGTAATTCTATCTTTGGCACAAAAGCAACAACCAATAGTTTAATTACACAAATGTGGGCTACCTGGACTTACGGCTGTATCTTTTTAAGTCCCCAACACCAGATAAATCAAACAGTCTGCCCCAATTAAATCCCAGAAAGGTGTAGCAAGCAAAGTATGGGCAGTCTTTAAAGGAAGGTTACTAGATAAATAGCACATGCTGTGGTCCAAGAACAACAGACACATTTCACTGATTACCTAATTCAGACGCTGGACCAAAGGATCTCTCTCTGCATGTGCTACTGTTTCTTTTTACCTTAAGCTGTGCTTGGCAGGTGCAATGCAGAAGAGAGGGACAAGAAATACCAATTATGGTTTAAATTCATACTAATGTCAACTCAATGTTCAGGCTCTGAGCATGGGACCAGCCTAACCCTTTTTCTAAGCCTTAGCTGCTTCTAGCAACTCCTTGTTCTTCTGTCATTTTGAACCTGTCTACATTCAGAGCATATAAAATATTAGGGGAACAAGTTGTACCAGTCTGCTGTATTTATTGAAACATAAAGATATTAAAACTGTCACAATAATTTCTTCAGCTATGTCTAATATGAGTACCTGACCATTGTGTATGTGTGTATATACATACATGTAAATGTATGTATGTATATTTCTTAATTTCTATTTTTCCTTCAAGGATTAATTTCTGGTTTTGTTAAATGTGCTTAAACGTGTGTGTGTGTGTGTGTATAGTTTTGTTTTTTTTTTACCTCTTTAAACATTTGAAACATACTTTAAGGTCTCTTTCATAGTTGTTTATTTTCTCTGAATTTTTAGGTTCAAATCCTCCTTTTGGTTGGTCCTGTGAACACCCCCTCATGAAGGCTTCTATCTGCTGAGACTGGCAGCTGTTAACTGGTTTCAGTGTCAGCAGGAGCTGGCTGCCCTGAGAAGTACTGGGTGTGGACGCCAAAGCCAAGAGGGTAAGAGCCTCTGCAGAAGGACTGGGGGCTTCACCTGTGCCAAATCCATTTGTTCTTACGTTTAAAAAATCGGATTTACAGAAAAGCTGCACAAATAAAGTGTTTCTGCATACCTTTTACATAGCTTCTCCCGATTTTAAAGTCTTAGTAATCATAGTAAAGTTAGCAAAACCAATATATTAACCTTTGCATAATACTGTTACCTACACTTGAGACTTTATTTGGATTTCACCAGGTTCTCCTCTAATATCCTTTTTTGCTGTCAGTGTTGTTCCAGGATCCTATCCAGGTTTCCACATTTCACTTCATTATATTCCACTGTGATTTTTAGTTCCTTCTGCTGTTCTCAGTTTCAAGGAGTTATTTTCTTGGGTTTCGTAAACAGCTCCAGGTTTAGCCTATTCTCAAGATTGCACAGACTTGATCTTCTCGTTTATCTTTCTAGATTGTAGAGTCCTAATCTTTTAATTCTAAAATGAATCTGCTCAGTGGATGCATCCATTTGATTGGTGGGTGGCAGAAAAGCAGAACACAGAGAGTAACAGGGAGTGGCACCCACCAACGTAAGTGAAAAAAATTCTGCAAATTCCACACACTGAATACACTGCTTTCCACTTAATTCCTTGGAAAATGAAAGTACTAGGTGTTCTCACCAGGGACACAAAAAGTAGAGGACAAAAAGATTATATCATTTAACTTCTACATTTTACGAATGAGAAAACAATCACATTGCAAAGGAAATAAACAGAAAACATCATTTGACACCAATTCATAGTATTTATTGACATTTCCATTTAAAATGCTAGGAAAGCTGTATAAATTGTAAACATGGAAACCAAACACTTGCATAAATTATTTCAAAACTACAGCACATTAGAAAACAGTGCAGCTAATTGAAGGGTAGAAACATAACTGACAAATAGAAGGGAGGGCTCAATTACTAAATCATATATCCATACTGAAATTTAAGTGCCCATTTGAGACCAGCAAACCATGATTGTCAAGTTCAAGTTGCAGTACTGATGCCACGGGTGGCCTCAATTTGCTCTGCATATATTCGTACAGTAACACTCATAATCTAGGAATGAGAGTGCCGAAGAGGCAGAAGAACATGACCTTGACAAGGTAGGAGGAGGCAGGTGGGCATCCCAGAGCAGCTCTGCTGAGCCTCCTTTCCAGTGAAAGTACCACTAACCCCCCAGTCTCCAAAGACCATGCTCTGGACGAGGGCACGGTTGTCTCTACTCTCCTCTGGTTAGAGCAACTGTATTAATTGATGGAGCATCCTCCTCCTTTCCCCACATGTACAAGAGGAACAGGCAGGGTGTCTGGCTTGAAGCTGGCCCTATACTATTCCTAACCTGCACACTTAGGGAGTCAAGTTACGAATGCTTGAAATCTGGGGGGCATGAGAAGACACTATACATGATGCTGAAGGTTGTCCAGAAAGGTTCTGTGGAATCAGGGACTTACATCACTTACACTTTTATCTGTCCCTTCTACCTAGTCACTCTTTCTTTAAATGTGAAATGCAGAAAAGCCTGGAGGCAGAAGGCAATGCAGGAACCGCATAATTATCTACCCCTGAGAAACAATTTGAGTCAGGTGCCTCAGATTAAAATATTCAATCTTTCTCTCACTTGCTCACTGATTCCCCACTTTGTTTCACGTCTCCAAAAGCATTTAATATTCTTCTCCTAAATTTCAATGCTATTGCATGTTTTTAAGATAAATTCTCAAGTGTACTATTATGAACACAAGCATGGAACTAGGATTGTACCATGAGGTTTCGGTTTTCAAGCCTTCTTAATACTGGAGAAAGGAGTCCTGGATTCAACACCCAAAGTCACCTCCATGATTTCGAAAGGAACCTGCAACACACACTCCTGTTCATTAGATAGTAAGTGTTTAAGTCTATTACATTTTACAGTACATTATAGCAGGTGCTCACAGAAAGCCCTCTCACCTGTTAACACGAATATCTGTTATGTGTTGAATTAATGCAAAAATGAAGTTCAAGTTACCATCCCATAAAAGTATGTTCTATTTTCAAATGGTCTGTGTGCAGGTACAGAGGTGGATTTCCTCACACACCTGCCTGGGACAAAAGTGGGTAAGGAGGGTCTGGAGACTGGCTTTGGAGACGCGTTCTAGAGGTAGAATGAAATGGCTGAAACTCAACTAGAGCTGAAGTAGTGTGGTAGCTAAGACTGGAGGCCCCCTTCCCCACCTGCCCAGAACCTTAACCAGCTTTCCTTCCAACCAACAAATTCATTCATGTCTAAGAATCTGGAATGAAAGGGATAGAGAAGTTTACTTAATGATTAACTTGTAAATTACTGCAAATGCAAATTGGTGTCCCAGTGATTGGTTTGGTCACTGGAGCACTAAGAAGTTGTGCAAACGCAGTAAACACTGACCCTGTACACAGTTAAATGGGAGGCTCATAGAGCACAGAATTACCTGTTTTGGCCCAAAGCCTTCAGGCGTACCTTCACCTGTGATGCTTGGCACACAGGCCTCATGCCCTGAAAAATCTGGTTGGCAAAAACCTGCTTAGTCTGCTGCTCAAAAGTCACATGCCACCAAAATAAAAACATACTCTGAAATTAAATGAGAAAAATGTGTAGGGAGCCATAAAGAAGTCAAATAATTTATTTATAACCCACTATGCTCCACAAAGGATTTATTTAGCATTGCTGACCAGCTGACCATTGAGATCTGCTCTAAGCAATAAACCTTGATGGAATTCTTATCACTCTTTTCAGACTTTACATTTGGTCCTTCAGCAGTTCTTCCCCCCTTCTCCCCTCCAGACCGATCTGTTCCTCTGTAGCCCTTCCCAGACCAGGTCATTTTCTCACTGCATCACTGCAAACACACAGCACCGCTTCCTCCTCTTGTTTCAGTGAAACCATTAACAGTGTGGTCAGGGATTCTGTTCCCGTATTGCAGCAGATCAAGATCAAGTTCGTTTGCAGTGATAGCTTCACCCAGTGTCTACATCCCTCCCCAGACCCTCTGCGCTCTTCTCGTGCCACCTCGCCATGTGCTGGGCAGCTCCCATCTCCATTAAAGTAGCTTCTTAAGTTGGTTCTTCTCAAGGTCCCATTTCCAAATGCGCAACTTCCACTTCTTCTGAGTACCGAATGCACTTGTATACTTCCAATGAACTTTACTGATACATACACCATTTTACTCATCTGTATCTCCTGTCTTTTATACCCATCTGTGTTCTCTGATTTGCATTCTAAGAGTCAGAAGGCAGGGCTAATGTGGACTTATTTGGTGCCAGAAAGTGCAGACAGTCAGGAGCAGGCAGAAAGATGCTTAATAAATACTGTTTGAAAGTTAGTGGTGAAGGAAGTGAATTTAAAGCAAAACGGGAGAGAGGGCGAGGAGCCACGTGGGCCCTTTGGTTTCCTGTGGTTACCGCCACTTGAACTCATTCATTGCTAGATCACAGCGTATCAGATCGTAGAACCCCAGTGCAATCGTACAGGTAACAGTTTCCATTTCACAGTGCTTTGTGACCCCTCCTCAAGGGACGTTTGCACACATGATCCCAGCTGATTCTCACAACGAGAAATCCTGGGAGGAGGGCAGGTGAGGTCTGTTCTCATTTGGCTGATCGGGAGAATGAGGCTCAGAGAAGGTTGCTGACCAGCAAGTTAGGGACAAAGTACACTTTGAAAATAATCATTTCTCCAATCTTCTCTAAAATTCGGACTCAGATTTATAGCTCGTGACATTACTATAACTTTTAAAACAGGTAAAGAGAATAGACATAAAACTTAACTTTTCTTAGAATGCTTCACTAAATGGAACTCCAAAGCCCCACATGCTCGTCCACACAAGGCCCTTTCTTTTCAGCGGATCACATTAACTGAGCACATGAGGACTCACATGGGTGTGGTGCTTCCCAGGACAGTAGTTTGTCCTGAGTTTGGTGATAGGTGTTTAGAGAAAACCAGTGCAAACTAAGTGAGCTTTACAACCAACACAAAGGTGCTGGTGATCCCATGGGCCTGCTCATACTACACACCAGCAGTTGTTCATTCTATGTTACCTTTGGTCTTGACATGAGTTTAAAAGTATATCGATTCTAACAATTACAGGCAGAATCCTTTCATGCTGGTTTGAAAGCCATCGAAATCTCTATTGCAGCCCCCTTTACAACGAAGCTTGTTTCTGCAACGTACAAAGGAGGCAATAACCATTTCATACTCTGTGGGCAAATGCTTACGACAGAGAAAAATGGCAGAAGAGGGGCCCGTGTTTATTCCATTTCCTGTCACAACATCAGAGTTCATAGTACGGTATCCATAATAAAATTCTGCTTGGATATGAGATTCTTAATAACATATTCAGGAAACCTGCTACTTTTAAGTGATATGCAAAGAGAATTCTCTATTGTGGGGAAAGTCTAAACCAAGACAGAAGAAAGAAATCAAGCCCAGAAGGAGTTTTCTCTCCCACACCCTTTGGAGCCTGTGAGGACTTCCTGAAAAGGAGTTCCAGTTCCTTTTATTTTAACATCCTTGAGAGATTTATTCTCCTGTATTCCTCCTCTTTCAGAAGTGATGAAAAATGGCCACATTTTAACTTCTCGGAACCAGCTTTCCCTGTATTCAGACTACACGGTGTGTTTCATTAAGGAAGTGCTGAAACATGATTCTGGAACCCGATGATAACATTTTGGAAACTCATTTTAGCTATTTCAGGGTTCTTAAATTTTTACGCAGATTCTGATTAGTTGGAGTCCCAACTTCTGCCTGTTTATCTATTGCTTAATTAAAAGTGTTTGTTGATCTAATAGGAAAAGGATTCACAGTGGAAATCTGTTCTCTGTTTTTCTTCTGAGCTTCACTCAGGTACCAGAAAACAGAATGGCCCTTGTTATTACATTCCTGACTCTAATTTGGGAAGTGGAGAAACATTCACTTCCAGAGTAATCCCAAGTGAGATGATACCTCTGTCAAGCCCAAAGCACATAAGACGGTTTGAATAGCCACTCAGCAGAGTCACGCACAATAAAATCCGAAGTTAGGAGCAACTTCCTCCTTTCCTTTGTGGTCTCAAAGCTCTTCTTTACATTTCTTGATTCATTACAGAAAGGCTGAACTGAACTCAGTTCCATTTCCAGGCCCTGAACACAGAGAATGTGATTACTAGGAATGTACCCATGAATAACAATTTGGTGGGCCCTAGGAATTTTTATAAATAACTTCTGCTTACGTAAGCTTTCTCATTCAAACATAATTTGGGAGTAACACCTCAGCCAAGTGCAAGGACTAGGTAGGACCTCTTGAAAGCCTCATTCTAAAGGACTGGCCTTGGTTTGTGCTGAAACAGGATGCTATCAGTAGGTTCAGGTGCCAATTAATAAACAGCAAATACCATTAAGAATGTAAATCTAAACTTGATAGGCATTTTGAATAACCAAATAAATAGTAAGCTTTTATTCTCCACATAGGAGGGTTTTTCCTTTCTAGAACAAATGAAGCCTTCAATGTAATCTTCCATTGTAAAAGCCAAAGTTGCATTTCACAGACTTAAAGGTGAGGGGCCCGTGGAGCTGCAGCACCAGAAGGAAAAATGCAGATGATGGCTTTGTCTGGAATCACCAGGCCCTACAAGCTATCATTTGGCTTCTCACTAGTAACTTTTTTTATTCCCCAACCGTCTTGGTGTTCTTGCTGTCAATATTACTATTAAAATAAGTTCCTATGGAGAAAAAGAGGGAAATCGAGCTGTTAATAAAATGTCTTCAGATCTCTTCTCAGAAAACAAAGCAGCAGGTTCATCAACCAAGCCAGTCTGAATCACATCTTCCCATGGAAATGCTGGGCTCCTTTAATCCCTGTACCACTGACAGATTTTCATCGTTTGCCTTTAAAAAGGAGACTTAGTAGTTTTGTTAACTTAGGTTTGTGGTTTGTCTTTATGAAGTGTGCTGGCTTTTGGCCAAAAGTATATAAATTTCCACTGAACCCAAGTGGCCACAAAATTGCCAACTTATTAAAAACATCATGAGCTGTAATGTGACTTATGGCATTTTCTAAAATTGCAACTTGCTCTCTTACAGGGGCTCCTAGCCCAGGAGATGTTGTCCTCCCACAAACACCCACTCAGTTGCGTTCCTTTCGGTCTTGCTTCCACGGGAAGCAGTACTTGGCAAATCTGCATGGTGCGGCTGATCAGCTGTGGAAGTTCTGCACGGCGGTCTGTTTCTGGGAGAGCCGGAGGAGCTCCTCGCGGATCGCTTTGATGAGGGAGGCTGAGGAGTGGCCGGGCTGCAGATCTTCCGTGGAGCTGGCGGCGTAGGTGAGTCCAGCACCCAGCAGCCCCCGGTGTGGGAGGTTCCCGGGAGGAGCTGAGGGCTCCCTGCCTGAAGTCCTTGGCACCTGGAACAGCGGTGAGGAATACTCTTGATGTCCGAGCATGTGTGTCTAAAAAACATGGGCAAACATTACTGTATTTCCCACGCAAGAACAGGAGGGAAAATCAAATCCAAATTGGTGATAGGCACTCACCTGGGCCTTCTTCCCATCTCCCACCCAACAACTCGGCCCTCCGGAAGGGCCCCCTGAGACTGGGATGCAGAGTAGTAACTGCAGAAATTGTCAGGGTACAGAGAAACCTGTGAACTTAGGTGTCTAATAAATACTTGCTTAAAGACAGAAAAGATCTGGTTGGTCAAGTCCCTGTGCCTGTGTGTGTGGAAGTGAGTGGCCCACAGGGAGAACAGGAAGGGCCCTGGAGTCCCCCAGGGAGGTGACAGGTCAGATAAGGATCTGAAAGTTGGGAGAGACAAGCAGGGACAGGCAGAGGCTCTGACAAGAACTGTCTTTCTGCCACCCAAGGAGGGTGTCCATGGGACACATGCTGGGACCACAGAACACGAACGTCATTACACATTTTCCATTTGATTTGTCTGTCTGTCCAGCGCTCTGTATAGCCTTTTTCTTTAAAAAGTTTCTGCACTAAAACATAAAGCTATTTTGCTCATATTTGCACATAATAAATATAAATTGCTATGTTCATTTGACAAGAACTACTATACTTTTCAGTGATTTTTTTTTCATATCTTTTTCGCTGAAAAATTTCTCTTTGCATATATACATTAGCACCAAATCTGTGGTTTCACTGATGCTAAGAGTGAGCTACTAGCCTGGCAAACATGGCATGCAAGCCCTAGAATATTCCACATTCCGCTTTTCCCCATACTGATAAAGAGGTTTTCTAAAGCAAACATTGGATTTGATAGAAAAACACAAACCACCACATGAAACTAACTTGAGCACAAGGAAGGCAGAAAAACAAAACTGTCAGCAAATGTAAAGCAGATTCCTAAGATTACAATGCATGACAATGTTATCTTTTAGGGAAAAATTACATCCTAAAGTTAATGAGAGACCTTTTCATCCAGTCATGAAAGGAATTTAATGTATCTGCTGGAAAGATATGTAAATACAGTGAAAGTTGTGGCACAGTGATTTAAAGATAAAAAAAAAGTATTATTTTGGTTTGCATTTTCAGATTCATAAAATGAATATAAAATTCTTGAGAACAACAAAGGAAAGCACTTGCAGAAATTACCTGTGCCCGTATTGATTCCATTCTTATTGAGGAATGCTCAGAGTGATGAGAAGCCCCCAGAACAAACCCCAAGGCTTGAAGTGCCCCAAACTGTGTGCTCATGGGCAAAAGCATCTACTGGTGGTGGTCATAACAGAAACGACAGTTATAAACAGTTATAAACTTGTGCAATAAAGCACAAGTGGTGAGCAAGTGAGTATGTAAGATTATGAATATTTGTATAGTGACAACACCAAAGGGAAAGTCCACCACTTTAATTACCTTCAGGTTCAGTTGCTACTTAAAAGTCAAAATCACAGCAACAAGAAGTAGAATGGGGGGTGCCGGGAGCGGGGGCAGAGGTGGAATGCGGGAGTCGGTGTTTCCTGAGTATAGCGTTCCAGTTTTACAAGATGCAAAGAGCTATGGAGATGGACGGTGGTGATGGCTGCATGACACTATGAATGTATTTAAAACCAGTGAACTGTACACTTAAAAATGGCTAAGATGGTAAATCTTATGTTACATTTATTCTACAATAAAAAAATTTTTGAAAAATTTAAAGTGTTACTGAGGTGTTTGTTCAGATTTTCTGTAATCAATATTGCTTTCAGTACTTTAAGCCTGAAATACACCTCAAAAAAAACTGCATATTTTCCCAAAGTTCAATGCCAATATTCTCCCACTCTAGGTCACAGGGAATTTACTGTCTAAACACTATATGCAAAAATACACTCTGGGGGAAAAAGTGAGGTTAAAACTTTTATTTATGTAGGTCTTAAAAAGGGATCCCCAAAGCAGAAGCAAAAGCAGCTAAATTAAGTGATTATGTCTGGATTTTCCATGATGACCCAAACACAAGATACTCACAGCCTCTCTTCGGCCTGCTTCCTCCTCCCCGTGCAAAGGCCAGCCTGGTCCCCCACACTGACCGCCTCTGCTTGGCGGGATTTCCACTGGCTGGGCTCCAATCCTGCTCGCAATCCCCACCTGCGTCAGGTGCTGGATCTGGGGGCCTGAAAGAACATGGTGGGACGGCCTGGTCAGCACTTGTAGGGGAGGCGAGGCCGCCCAGGGGGACACGTGGGCTCTGACCACGGCATGCCCTCCGGGGCGAGGGATACGAGCACTGCTCAAACATGGCACCAGTTCTATCTTCATCTCCAGAGAATGACATTTCCTAAAACAGACCAAGAACTTCTCCGCTCACGGGCTTTTACGTCCTCTCAGCGCAGTGGCTGGCTGTGATGCCCTTTTCTTTGCTACACATCAGAGGACTGGGGATACAGGGTCTAATCGGGGCCCTTCCACTCATTACTGTACAGGTTCCAAATAAGGATGAGCTTATTTCTTCAGAAGAAAGGAATGAAAGGTTTTGGATCCATAAAGCAGCTGAAACTGCTGAAAATACAATCTGTGTTTTTCCTTAAAAGGCAGGGTGCGTATTTATTTGAATTCAGAATGTTAAATTTATTTTCATTATATTCGCACATCATTTCCATAACTTAGCTATGTCACAACTAAAATTTTAAAGCCACCCACCCCGCCTCCTCGGTGAGGTGTGCTGATGGCAAAGCCAGGAGGCTCTAGCGGCAACTTCTCCCCCATTCAGACGCACCATGGCATTGCGTGGCTACGAAGGCCAGGCTTTGAACAACAGATAGTCCTCCCTCCACAACTTTTATTATACGGCTGTTTCTCCCTATTCTGCAGATTAAGGAGGAATAAAGTGATCTTTAAGCACTGTGAAATAAGATACCTGTTTTCCAAATGCTCCTAGGATCATGAACTCCATCTATGATGCTCAGACTGGTCTACAGAGGCTCAGAATACAGACAGGTGAGGCTCTCTCCATCTTTGTCTTCTACTCTAGTGGTCTAATTAACAGCCTCCATTTATCAAATGTGTTTTTTTAAAAAAAGGAACTCCATAGTTTTACCTGGATATATAATGATCACTAAAAACTAAAGGTCGGAAAAAACCTTCTAGGCTCTTGACAGAGCAACTGTACCCTGCAGGAGCTCCTGCTAGTTAGTGCAGATTCACAACAGTATCAAAATTATTAGGACTATCAGTATTGTCTGCCCAATAAACCTTGTTTGAGCAAATCTTGCAAAGGACAAAAACGTAGCACAGTGTTCCCTGTCGTGTACAAGGGCTCAGACAACTGAACAGGGAGAAACCTCTGTGTTACAGCCACAACCATAGCTGAGATTGGAATTCAGACATGATTCTGTGTCTTGCTCTGTTTACTTAGTGACATAGCACAGGCTTCCCCCGTGACTCAAGTGGGCCACTGCACCCAGCAAGCCTGAGTTTCCCTTCCAGCCCAGCCACAGACCAGCCCTGTGACCCTGGACACCCGCTTAGAACTCCCACAAAGCCTTAATGCCTCACTTCTCAACCTGGGATAAAAAAAAATCTACCTCATGATGTTATTTCAAGGATTAAAAGGAAATGAAATAGGTCAAGTACCGTACACAGGAGGCAATCGGGAAGTCTTAAGTTCCCTTTTTCTGGTTCTTTCAGAGCTCTTCATTTTAAATAGCTGTACATTGTAATAACTGTACTCAGTGATGCCCTTATTCCTGGGTATTTAGGGAGCTCACAATTTCCTGCTATGATGAATAATGCTCCGATAAACATTTTCGCACATGTAGTTTTTCTGCAACATTTTGGATTTCTTTGCAGAGGGGGGAGCCTACCTTCCCAGAAGTGGAATTACCAAACTAAAGGCCAAGCCATATTGCCAAGCAGCTCTGCAAACATTTAATGATTTACACCACCACTGGAAATAATGTAATAATAATAGTAAAGGCAGCTAATATTCATTAAAAGTTTATGATATGCCAAGCACTATTTTGAGCACTTTACATCCGTTACCTTCTTTAATCATGAAAACATCCACAAGAGGTGAGTTCTAATATTATTGCCCTTATACAGATTAAGAAACTAGACATTAATTTTATCATATCACATTATGAAAATAATTTCATAGTTGAAATGGTACCTCATCATGACTTTAATTTGCAATTCTTCGATCATTTTCAAACCTGTTTACCTTTCATATGATACACACACTTCTTTTGTGAATTCTTTCTTCTTGTCTTTTGCCCATTTATCTAATGAAATTTGCACATTCATCAATTTATATGAGCCATCCTCTATAATAAAAATACTTCTTGGTCATATCTGCTGTAAATTTTACCTAGATACTATTTTCCTTTTGCTTTTCATAATTTTTAGACAGATGTATATTGATAATTTTACATAGGTGGAACAGTAACTTTTCTAGTATATCTTAATACTTTTTCATCACAAATTTTTATATGACTTAATCTCTTAATTTTAGAAATTATTAGAAAATAACTTCCTTTCCAATGTTTCATATATATAATTTCTATATTCTTCTGGATTAAAAAAGAATATACCTGAAGCAGCTGTGAAGCAGGAAATCCCGTAGGGTATCATATACGTTATTTCTTTTGTTGACTGACCAACAATGCAAAAACACAAGAACTGACTAGAAGACTATTAACGGATCATTATGTACCAATTATTACAAGTTTAGAATTGGCCTAAACTAGTTTCTTGATGACATAAAGGTCTATATTCTCCAGAAAGTTAGCAAAGTAAGTGATCTAACATGTAATGGGTTCTCTTACTAAACCTTCAAACAGGAGGGTGAAGAAATGAACAGGAAAAATGAATGGCTCTGAGCCCTTGTAGTAAAACACATAAAGATGGGTTAAAATGAGCTTCAAGCATTTCTCATAGTATGCAGAGCTGTATAAGAAACAGAAATTGCTCAGGATCTTTAACTACACAGATACATTAGGAACACTGAACACCATTCACAAATACAGCATTTGCAGTATCAGCTATTTATGAGATGAAGTTTGTATGACATGAAACAATAATTTGAAATTTGGGGGTACAACTCTGGATCTCAGGTAAACTGATGGGGCAGAGCAATCAGTTGCCATATAAGAATCTCAGCTCACCATGCTGGGCTGTGTCAACTACAAGCAGTGTTGCTCATTATGGCTTTGAAGGGGATCTCTTAGCTGGTCCACTTACACTTCTATTGGACCAATTAGGTAAAGCAATTAAAAAGTACAATAGGACTAGAAAATTTGGGGATTTACAAAAGTCTCAGGATGAATCCCTCACAAACATCAAGCAGCTACCAAACTTGATAAGGATTTGCTCTGGGTTTAACTATTAACACAAAACTCCCAGAAGACTCTAAGACAAATGTATTTTTTTCTTTTTCTTTTCAACTCATTTTCTGAAAATTAGTTTATTCCTAATCTAGATGTAATTACTAAGGAAACCCAATTCAGAACACATTTTTTTTTGCTTTATGAAAATTCTGAGGGTTCCACCTTTTCTCAAATTTTTTACATGCATCTCAAAAAGTGACAAAAAGGAGTTAGATTTTCCTCTCAACCTAAGAGTAGTTACATTGTTAAAACACAAATGTTTGTAGCTCCATCTCTAAAAAGCAAAACTCAATATGTGAAACTTGTAATCTCTAAATTTTAACTGTGGTTTGAAAAAAAACCCTATATCTTTGCATTTAGTATACTAGATATTATACTTTTGTGAAGAAAAGCCAAATCATGCATGATGTTTCTCAGATAACTAATTACGTATATTTTAGAATTTTCTTAAGATTTATTTTCTCTCTGCCTTCAAAATTTCCAGAAACTATACACTTTAAACTATGTTCTTTTAAGAACATAAAAAATTCAAGTAGGGATATTCTGATATAGATTTTTATTTCAATTCCAATAGGTAATTAAGGAAAACCTAAATACTAGAAGTAAAGAAATGCCATGTACCAGTACTAAGGCCTAACAAAGAACTAGAGGGCCACTTTAGAACATACGACCTTCCACTGTTGAATTATCAAGTAAAAAGCTGTGCCTGTTACCCACAAATGACACTAAACTTGTTCTTTACTCAATCAAGCCTTAATGATGGCCTGAAAGAAGGGCAGAAAGGAAACAGTTCCACACGGACATCAGCTACTCCCAGTCCCTCCACCTCAGACTCTGCCCACGTGAGTGACAGCAGGGAGGAGACAGCAGGCCTCAGGCAGGAAGGCATGAAAAAATGACAAGGAAATTTAAAAAAAGGAAGAAGATGGTATTAACAAAAGCAGAGGGGGAAAAAAAGAAGGAGGTGAGGTTCAAGGAGAGAACAGTGGTGCACCCCCCACAAGAAGTAACCAAATAAAACAAAAATCTTCCCCCAGTCACTGTCTGGCGATTTTCAGCGTTGCTTATTACGAGCCAGAAAAGTGCCTTCTTTTTTTTTATTTTTCATTGAAGTATAGTTGATATACAATTGGTTATATTGGTTTCAGGTGTATAACATGCTGATTCAGCAATCACATGTATCATGAAATGTCTCCATGATAAGTGCAGTTACCATCTGTCACCATACAAACTTAGCATAGTATCACTGACTGTGCTCACCATGCTGTACCTTTCATCCCAGTGACTTATTAATTTGATAATTGAAGCTTGTGCCTCTTTATCCTTCACCTACTTTGCCCATCTCCTAACGCCCCTCCCCCATGGCAACCTCCAGTTTGTTCTCTGTATGTATGAGTCTCTTTGTTCTGATTGCTTGAAAAGTACCTTCTTTAAAACAAAAACTTATTTTAATGCCATTATAAGTGCTCAGAAACAGATCTTTCAGTTTACCGCAAGAATTCAGAAACATTTGCCCTGGAAGAAGTGGGCTCAGATTTCCACATGAAGGGAGATGACTGCTCTCGAGATGGTGGTTCAGGAACAAATCGGAGGTCCTCAGCCCCAGATCTCAACTTCCTCTCTCTGCCCCCACTGCCCGACCTCTACGCCAGGCCCCAGGGACTGCACCTCTTACAGCAAAGAGGCCACTGCGCACTGGGACATTGGTGCCCTGGGAAGTCTAAAATGTGTTCTGCTAGAATTTAGCCAAAGAGTAAGCATCCTCTAGTTCAGAAATGCAAACAAAATAGCCACATGTACCTGTGGTGCCTCCGACAGGCCGAGGACGGGCCACCGGTGGCACCTCCTCAGAGTAGATCCCTCGGGCGGCAAACGGGGCTTCAGCCGATGCCTGTGGCTGTTGAGGCTCTGGAGGCCCCAGCTCTGAAGACTGCAGCAAACCGGGGCCAAAACCTGGTCTGAGGGCAAATCATACAAGCATCAGGACCACACCTCACCCGGCTCTGCTGTTTTGTTAGGCCACCCTCAGCCCTGCAGGAAGACAAGACCTGTTTGCCCATTGGCTTGTCCCCCCTCTCCTCCCTCAGAACAGGAGCTCCCTGAGGGCCTGCACTTTTTCCGTTTGCCCGCTGACATGTCCCCAGCGCTAACAACAGTGCCCGGAATAAAGCTGATGCTTGACACATCTCTGTGGGATGGACTGAAGAAATGCTTCGGTTTACAGACCAAAACAAGACCCAGTCAGGTTCCAGGGCCTGTTCCTCTCAGCATCTGAGGGTGGCTTTCCACCTTGGCTGCACAGTAGCATCACCTGGGGGGCTTTTAAAAGCCCTCATTTCCCACCTCACCCCAGACTAATTATAACAGAATCTCTAGAGGGGGACGCACACGTTGGTAGTCTGTAAAGCTCCACTGGTGACCCTAATGTTCATCTAGGCTGAAAACCAGTGCTGTAAAGCAATAGTTCTCAGACTTTTAGGCCTCAGGACCTTTTTACACTCATAAAAATTGAGAACTCCCAAGAATTTTTGTTTCTGTGTGTTGTATCAACAGATATTTATTGCATTCAAAATTAAAACTGAAAAAAAATTTAAGCACTTCAAAAAAAAGTATTAAATATATTCCACATTAACATTTGTCATGAAAACTGTATTTTTCAACCCCAATGCAGAAAAAATTTTACTGATAAAAGTTTTTTCTCTTTTTGAAATTTCCTTAATAGACAACATCTGAATTCTTATATACTTTGTATTCAATCAGCTGCCTTAAGTTATTTTAAAAAGAAAATCTGACCTCACATAAATATATAGTTGGAAATGGGAGGAATATTTTAATAGCATTTTCAGATCATATTCAAATACTATTTCAGTTAAATATTCTTCTTTGATTCTGCACCAAAACTCAAAGGTTTCCTTAAAAGTTAGTAGCACTGGGATCTCAAACAACATCAGTGAACTTCCCATATTCTGCTACATTAAAACCCACTGGTCTATCTTACACTTTGAATGGACCCATCTATGATTTTATGACATTGACCATTTAGAAAATACTCGGTTCACTGACTTATGCAGACTTTCTAGATACTGATACATTTCATTTTACAGTCTCAAAAAATGACATTAATGTTACCACCAAGCTCAGCAGGAAAGTTTTCAAGTACTAGGAAGGTGTCAAGTGCATACTAATAGACAAGTTTCCCAAATTCTAATTGTCACTTGAAAGCTCAAGTTTATCATTGGCAACAAATTCTGTCAGTTGTTTCTCTTGAAGTGACAGGTTCCCTTCTTTCATTTTCCAGACAGTTCCTGCCAAACAGCTTAGTCAGAAATAACATCTGCTCATTGTTTGTTCAAGCAAAAAACACGGAAGAGTTAGTTCAGTGCAGTTCACAACTCAGACACCTGATCAAGTGCTTTTCCTTCAAACCTCCTTATCACCTGAGTGCTTTACGTGTCTACCCTCTTTGTCCCTCAAACTATTAAAGATTCAAGGGTCTAGGTTTAATGAGCTTTATAGTTCTTACTACGTCATCAAGAACACACTAACATAAAGCTGGCATTTATAAAAACTGTGACTGCACAGCAGGGAAGGATATACTGGCTACTCAGTCGGGCGCCACTGCCTGGACTCAGGCAGAGGCCCAAGCAGTTTCACCACCACCGCTTCTGTGCCTCAGTGCAATCGTCTTTCCGCGATGAAAAACGTCACACACCACCTGTTATTATGATGAAAATAGTTTAGACCCTGAAAGGTTCTCAAAAGTGAATGAGATGGGTCAGTTTTGTTTTTTAATGTTAAATCACCTTTGCATTGCTGGAATAATTTCAATTTGGCTGTGATGTGGTATCTTTTTTTTACATATTACCAGATCTGTTTGCTGATATTAAGTTTCAATTTTTTTGCTTCTATGTTCATGAGTGAAACCAGCCCTTAATGATTCCTTTCTTGCAATGTCCTTGGGCTTGGTATCAAGGTTAGGCCAGTCACCCAGTACAAGGGGGAGTAGTGTTTTCTCTTTTCCTATTCTTTAGAAGTTTGTGCAACTTTGGAACTTTTTCTTCCTTCAGTGTTTTTGGTAGAATTCACCGTAGAAGCCACCTGAGCCCAGAGTTTTCTTTGTGGGAAGAATTTTAATAATGATTTTGATTTCTTTAATAGTTGTATAGCTATTCAAGTTTTCTCTTTCTAGGAATTCTTCCATGTCAAGTTTATTAACAAAAATGTGTTCAAAAAAACCATAATGTCTGTAAAATCTATTAAAAATTGGTCTTTCTAAAATATGTCAAAATCTTTTTAATTTCTGTAAGATCTGGATTAACACATCCTTTTGCATCCACCTTGCTGATAATGTTACATGGATTTTTGATCAGGCTCTCAGGGGTTTATCAATTTTATTAGCTTTTTTCAAAGACTTAACTTTTAGCTTTGCTGATCTTCTCTTACGATATTTGTTTTCTACCCCATTCATTTCTATTCTTATTTTTATTATTTCCTTTCCTCTACTTCCTTTAAGTTTAACTCAGTCTTTCCCTAATATTAAGATAGATGCTTAGATCATTGATTTTTCAACATTTTTCTTTTCAAATACATTTTGACTCATCTAAGGCACCAAAGCCCCCCTAACCGTGGCTTTGGATGTATCCCACAGCTTTTGATATGCTGCATCTTCAAGACTCTAAACCCCGTGAGTCTGTCAAAAGTTTTGCTCGGCTTCGCACCCACCTTCTCCAGAACCAGCAGATTCCCCTGAAGGATGTGCCCAGAAGGCAGAGCTCACCTCCCTGGATTTCCTGGATCTTGGCCCCATACCGCGTCACTGCCCCGTTAGCTATCTGGATTTTGTTTTTTATTTTAAAATCCTGTCTAGCGTTTCCAGTTGTCCTCAGCAAATTATCTAGTCTGTCATTACTGGAAAAACTTAAATTCCAACTTTTTTTCTCTTCTGGTTAAATCAAGAAAACACATAACTGAATTTTGCAATCTGCTCATATTAACTAAAAAAAGGGAGTTTACAAAATTTAAAAAACAGCCTATGTGAGGAAGTCCTAACACACAGTCTCCTGAAGACCGTACCTTGGCAATGGGCCTGATGGGGGAGTCATCCCATAGTCTTCATACCTCTGGAAGAAATTCAAAGGAAGATGAAGATTAACATTTAATATTTATTAAAAAGTGATAACAGCAGCCTTACAAATTTATTAAGTTTACAGGATCAACTTTCAAGAGAATTATTTTCTCATAAAAAGTTAGCATGCCATTGGGGCATTCTGCCATCAGGCAATTCCAGAAGTTCCAATTTGAGAAACAGGGTTACCAAGCTTTAGAAAATACACGACTACTTTCTAGACTTTTCTTTTATAAAAACATGAACAGACAGCCTTTCTGCGCCTGCTCTTCCCTACAGGCTCAGTCTCTACAAACCCTATCTTCTGCTAAACAAGTAGGCCTCAGTGACCACATTTAGTACAAACGATCCCATCAACATGGGCCAGGATGGACGCTAGACCAATGGGGTGCCCAGTAACAATTCAAATACTCTCAAGAACTGAACTGTGTAAATGTTGAAGCACATTGTAGAATGTTGTAAAAAGAGAAAGAATACAAAGAGAACCAGAAATTAGACTCCTAAAGATGACATGAACACCTTCAGTTTCTGACAGCATTCTGGTTCCAAGGAGGTGCCAACATCCTCCCCTGCCCTCAAGTTCCATAAGGGGACCCCACAGCCTTCAAGAGACTCATTTTTTTTTTTTTTTTTTTTTTTTTTTTTT